TGAATTAGGTAGAGGCTAGACAGGAAGAGGGAAAAGGAGATGTTAGAAAAGTGTGACCTGACCACTATATATAATAAATATATATTATATATAATATATATAATATATATATTATATATATATATATATATATATATATAAAATATATTATATATATATAAAAATATATATATATATTATATATATAATGTTACGTACCTATTGCACTGCTTCTCTTGAAAAACGTGCACTGACATCTGACAGATAAGGTTTGCACTGCTGTAAATATTTGTCCTCTGAAGGTTAATTATTGCTTATGTTTCCGACTAGTACTGACTTAGCTTCGGTCCACTCCACTTTTCTCTACTTCAAACTCTCCACAAGTGTTACACCAGTAATGAGGTTTCCAACCTGTGTCCCCTAAACCTGCACCAGTACAGAGGTTTCCAACCCATGTCGCCTTACTAAGGAGAGAAGAATCATGTGTGTCTAGTGCATGGGTCCGCCAAGGGAAGTGTAATAGAAAGTGTAATAGTGCCGGCGAAGAGCTCTTGATCAAAGGAATTAGGCTTACCTGTGTTTTCTTGGCTCGAACCTGATTGCCTCCCATTCCCTTGGCTCTACATGACACCTAAGGATTTAGTGCTTCCCCCTTGTGTAGTACCTGTACACGGGATGTATGTGTGCGCATTCTCCATGGATTCCATAAAGAGACAATAAGAACATTCATGGTCTCACTATCCACAAGATCAAATACACTGTTCTTGCACACACAGTGTACGACATCAGCACAGCTCACATTAATATTAAGTATTCACATCCATAGTCAGGTCCAGTTATTAAGGCATTTGAAAACAATATTTTTTTTCTATTAGCAAGCGGAAGGGGGAGGAGGAGGCACTTCCAACCTGCCGAGAAAAATGACCCACCCACCGATTATAACAGCGGGAACCAATTAAGATGTAAATAGCGGGTGACAAGCAGCGTAATGCGACCCGTCTTCAGTAGTGTAGACTGGCTCAACAACTGGGGAGAAAATGTGAGGAATTTCGTGGTGCGTGTGGCCAGATGACTCTGTTGTTCCTAGGATTTTTTCCCTCAGGGATTCTTGAGGACACTCACCCGTGAAAGCTTACCCGCTGTGGCATTAACCTGTGTTTTGTATACTGTCGTTCAGACGTGCGATATGAGTGAGTTACTGGGGAGAGCTGTAAGAATAATCTCTCCTATACCCACAGCTGAGTTTTTCTTCCAATATTTCTAATGCCATTTGAACACGTAAAGGAATTTTATGTTTTCCTCTACGGTTTTCAATGATCGACGCTCTGATCACGACTTTGAAGGAAAAAAAACTGATAATCGGTGCAAATATCGCTTTCAAGATTCTTGGAAAATAGTCTCTTTTAATCAGAAAGACGCAACTTACTATCGTATTAAGTAAAATATTGTGGGAAATATTTTGCCTCAGTCAGCACAGCGTCTAGAAAAAGAAAGAGCATGTTTATTGATGACTCTTTAGTAAAATGATGAAGTGTTTAGATGTTACTGAAGGTCAGTCAAATGTCTGGCTGCGTTTCTTGTTTTTGAGGCTTTTTTTTTTAATTTAACACTTGTTAATAATAATAATAATAATAATAATAATAATAATAATAATAATACTTGTTAATAATAACAATTATAGACTTACCACATGAAATTTTGAGGTCCTATATGGAAACTATAACTTGGTTGCCCACGACTCAGTGTTAATGGTAGTGTCAACACTGCCGAAATGATTTCACCACAACCATGAACTGGACTCATATTATTAATAATTATTTCTATTAGTTGAGAAAAGTCTTTATAAGACTTTTAAAAGTGTGCTTGCTGCTTAAGAAATCCATTAAGGGTCTAAGGGGGCATAATCTGTTGTTTATAAATGACAGGGCCATTGTGGGTCATGGCAGACATATTTCCCCGGAGACGGGAAGAATGTGTCTTGGAGAAAAGCAATTTGACTGGAATAATTTAATAGCAATTACCGTCTTACTCCCCGGTCATTATTCAGGTTAGATAATTAACGGGGTTGTACTGCAGCGTCAACGGTGTGGATTATTGGTGGGGCCAGCAAAGGGTAGTACATGAGAAACACAGTAGAGCTTGCTTTCTGTATCTAAGTTATCTTCTGGGAAAGAATTAAACCACTCTCTGATTTTCTTTACTACTGTCTAAAAAGACAGAAATAAGGCTAGAGTAGAATAGTGGAGTTCTCTCTCTGTCTCCCTGCTCCTCCACACCTCCCGGTCACTGCCAGCAATAAAAATGGAATTAAGAAAATTCTCGTACCCAAGTGAAAACTAGAAGGGAAACTTACATTTTCAATTATAATGCAGGATATAGACACCTCTACTACTACTACTACTATAATAACAACTATTATTACTACTTTAAGATGTTTAATGGTCTCTTAGCCTTTGCACTCTTTCTGTGTTCAACTCGTAAAGTCAGTGGTGACAGTGAAGTTTACGATGGTTTTCGGGGACGTATTGCAACGTTTAATTTATTCTCCTTTAAATTCATTAGGCAGAATCTTTTATTATAAAATTCTTTTTCTGTTGAAACGTTTTCGTCATCTGTAAGTTTTACAATATTGTCCCTAATTATGATTTTCACTAGTTCTTACCACCGGTGTAAAGCTAAACGCGAAGTAGTTTACAGCACGTTGCTGGTCTTTGGGTAATTTGGAATTATCTGGTGGTTCGCTAAGCAGTTATGCTGCTGAGTCTGTATTACATGTTAAATTCAAGATTCTGGCTGGCGGTTCATCTCGGTGATTTGTTTATACTCTGCTTTTTCTAGGTGTTCTTATATTGGGGCTGCTGATTTCACTATTTTTTTTTTTTTTCCATCAACTCGAGTAGCAAATAAAATATGCAAAAAATCACAGGTTGGAAATTCTGAGGCCGAGATCTGTGACAGTGAAGAAAAAGTGTCACTGGGAGAACAAGCTCTTATAGGACAACGTTTCGCTCTCTACAGAACCGTGTCAAATCACGACTTGATAAAGCTCCACTCAGGGTGAAACTTTGTATCCTTTCCTCATTATTGTCATCATTAAGCCATTTGGATGCTACCTGGGAGGTGTGAGAGAGACGCCCGGGTGGAAGCAGCAGTACACCTGCAACTGCAACCTTAGAGACTGGCCATACACGTAAATGTTGAGGCCTTGAGCATGTTCGTGTTGTGTTCGACTGTGAGAGCTACACTGACGGTGGTGTTGAGTGCAGTTGTTGCTTCTTCAAGGTCGCTCCTCATGCTACCTTCATCCTCAGTTAAATGCTGCGTCGTAGTTTTGACCCTTTTCTTTTAACTTTGAGGTTTGTATTTTTTAATTGGCTTTACTGGCATGATTAATTTCTTTACTTGCTATCTCTCGATAACTGTAGTTAGTATAATACTGTTACTTGCAGTTTATTATGCCCTCTATATGCTCTCTCAGTCGTTACATAATTTTTTATAAATTTTTAGAGGGGTGGACCGGTAAGCCAACTGAAGGTCTCGGTGAGATGGACCAACAGCTCCAGTGGCGGGTCATCATATGACTAAAACCCGCGTCAGGAAACATTGTCCTGCCTGTCTGTTTTCTTTTTTTATCCTTATAATAGACTTATTCTTCTTAAATCTACTACATATTCCTTCTTCATTATTTCTTAAATGGTTGACCAACCTCACAGGAATTCATAACGTCACTCTCAGTGGTAAGAACAATATCGAACATCTCTATTAATTTAACAGACCAGTACAAGAAGGCACCCTCGATTATGTTAATTACTCTGCTTGCTTCTAATAGTCTTCCAATTTCTAGTTTGCTTATTAAAGTCGTCCATTAGTTTTGCCTGTTATCATCAGTCGTTCAGCGTGCACACTTAAGTCTTATCCTGAAGTTATTGTGGTGGACTGTACAAGACTTACTCTTTATTTTCTCTGTTATACATGCTTCTACCTTCAAACATTGTATTCGATCTCTTTTTTATTGTCGAATCTTGATTAAATGCATGAAATCATTTTTAAATAATAGTGATTCACAGTCGTGAGTTCTAATGTAAATATTGTATGTAGATGATAGAACTTCATCTACCATATTATTATTATTAATTGTTATTGTTTATTATTAGTGCTTCCTTCTCTTTAGGTAGGAGAAAATTCTCAGCTTCAGGGAGAACCTTGAGTTTTCCCTAAAGCAAGTTTATTCTTTTCTCTGAGGATGAGGGTCCCCAGGACAGTTCTAGAGGTGATACCTCCCTATATTTATTATGTATATATATATATATATATATATATATATATATATATATATATATATATATATCTTATATATATATATATATATATATATATATATATATATATATATATATATATATATATATATTATATATATATATATATATATATAATATATATTTATATATATACTATATATATATATATTTGTCGCTAGTTAATTTTTTTAATGAAAACTTCTGTACATAAACGTATTTCGAATAAATAATAATACTATTAATAAAGAAAGCAAATATAAATAATTCTATAAGTAAATAATAACTGATTTTTTCATTATTTTTTAAATAAAATTTAATGTAAATTATAACATATCGTATAAAAATACTGTTAACTATAAAAACTATGGCTAAATAAAATATATAAATAATTTAAGTGCTTTATTACGGTATGAGACAACATAAGTTAGGAAAAACACATTGTTGTGTGTTTGTGGAAGTACAATGTTTTACGTGTCTCAGTGTTTCTGTAAATAAAATTTTGGCAATGTTTTTATAATAAAAAATAACTATAACGGATGAATGAAAGCCTAAAATTATATTTAAATAGTCTGAGAGACGCAAGCAGGGAATGTAATCCAAGAGAAACAAGAATATATATATTGTTTGGCACATTCTTGACTAAGAAGGTGGTGTGATGGGTACACTGCGACGCCCACACAGTCTCACACAACACAAACAGTAAACAACGATTTCTAAAAATTCTTTTTCATTTTTTATTAACTAGGTGTCTTGTTTATAACTTGATCAGTTTTAATAAAAAGTTTCACTTCCTGTTAAAACTTCATTTAACATTAATAAAACTTTGTTTTATTAAGCATATAATTTCAACATATCTCTTGGTAAGTATTTAATATATCAAGTTATGAAGATAAATGCAATTGACACCTTGAGGAGCCAGCTGTCACGGTCACTACCGTTGACTGATGGAACTCTCAAGTCTTCCTCCTGGACTCTTGCTGAAGCAGGCCAAGGAAATGAGACAGCTGACAAAAAAAAATAAAATAAATGTTGGTAGGAGACAGACGACTTCACTCTTCCATGGGGAGTTTGAGCGAGGAGAGGCAGCAGCCGGTGCCATGGTGGCCGGCCTTACTGATGCTCTTTCAGTAGATGATTATTTCCTCTCACCCTGAAGGCTCCGTTCAATGATCTCGTAGACGTAGGCTGGAACGTGTACCACGTCCTCTCCTGCCCGCACCACAACCTGGGGTTACAGGTCATCATGGGTTAATACAGTTTACTAAGAAGGAATTACAGTCAAAATTATTCTTGTAATAATATTGGTAGACTTGCCGAAAATATGTTAAGTAAAAGGATACATGTGCAAACTAATGTGGCATTTTATTGTGGCAAAGTTTCGCTCTCTGGGAGCTTTGCCAAGCCGTTACAAATAGTACAAAGACAGAGAGGGTATATATATATATATATATATATATATATATATATATATATATATATATATATATATATATATATACATATATATATATATATATTATATATATATATATATATATATATATATATATATATATATATATATATATATATATATATACATATATATATATATATATATATATATATATATATATATATATATATATATATATATATATATATATATATATATATATATATATATATATATATATATAAGTAACAATGTGAGGTGGAGAAAGTAAAGGTACTGCAGTAGGCTAAGTGGAACATACTGTTGGTAGTAGTATCAAGAGCAGTAGTGTGGAATTCTCAGGGAAGGCTCAACGCAGTTAAACTGGTTATCCAGTTCACACTTGAAGAGTCCAATTACAGGTTACCATTCCTCAACGTCCTTATTTATAAAGTAGCTAACACCCTTAAATTCCAAGTTTACAGGAAGCCTACAATAAAAAACGATCTCATATACTTCTATTACAGGCAGGATACTACGATCAAATGAGGCATCATCATCGTTTTTTTTTCTAAGAGCTCACCGAAATTGCAGTCCAGAATTTCTTGGCAAGGAATGGGCATACATGCACCAAAATTTCACCGAACTACATTCCCCTTTTTTCATCAAGTACTATAAGGTAAAAACCTCCATTTCATTAATTCTCCACGCACTAACATCACTCCTAACAAAATTATAATCCTTCCCAACAGCTAGGGTGCCTTGAATATCTCCACATTCGTCTCTCGGCCCTCGGGTAGAGAGGACGTACTTGGAACTGCGCTCTGACCCCTGGTGGCAGATGACAGTATTTTCATCATGGCGGAGAGTTGCCGCAGACGTGTCAACACTGTTTGTTTAGAATTGGTGAGGGGCGTGCTCACTGCCCAGAGTACCAACATGTTGCTGACGGCGATATTGCGGGATACGTACGGTATCGCTAATGAAGACCTTTAAGGAGTTTCACTGAATGGTGTAGCATGCATTTTCGTTAAGTTCCGGCTGAGCAGTACATATGAAAACATGGTGGCCAAGTATCAGGAGGTGGTTAAGACGGTTACCCCTGGCGTTAGTGTCCGTCTTCATGACGTATCAAGGTTCTACACCTGGGTCAAGGTGCGTAATGTACCTTTCGAGGCTGATGAGAGTGATTTACGGCAGGTGTTTGGAAGATATGGGACGATCCATATGGCGACATTGGGACGTTGGCAAGATGGGCCACTAGTTGGCTTCCCTGAAGGAACATTTTCCCTTAAAATGTCCCTAAGGCATCCTATTCCATCTTATGTGGGAATGGAGGACTTTCGGACTCAGGTGTACGTAACATACACAGGTCAGAGCCCAGAGGCGTACGTGCCGTGCGTGTGGGGCGTACGACCACATAGCGCCGACTTGTCCAACGAGACGTGGGAAACCTGATGCTGAGGCGGGGTCTGATCTTACTACGGACCGACTGACTTATGCAACGGCAATGCAACGTAAGCCTTCGTCACGGGAGGCGTGGAGTGTGGAGGTGGAGAGGGAGGAGGCGTCATCGCCTGAGTGTGTGACACTCACTGGACTTGACGAGGATGTAGGCTTGGTGTCGGCGAAGAGTGGTGAGGAGTCTGCAATTGCTCACCATGTTTTGGAAGCTACAATTCAGGAGGCCCTGGACGACTTACTGGATGTTTCGGTGTCTGTGGTCAATGCTGGCTTGGATGCTGTGAGTGTAGAGGTTGAGGTGGGTGGCCTCAATGAGAAGGTTGTGAGTGGTGAGGGGCAGGTTCAGAGTGTGGCAGTGGAGGTTCACAGGGAAGATGCCCAGGAGGAGGCGAAGCGTAAGAAGCGTGGCTCTCGCAAGAGGACGGCTGTCATTTCTGATAGTGAGGATGTTTTGACGCCTGGGCAAAGGACTGGGAAGAAAGCCTGGCATGATGTAATACCTAGAGATAAAGGTGGTTTAAAGAATGTTGAGCGTGAACAAGGGGAAGGTGATGGGAAGTGTGGGGGGCAGGGTGGGGATTCTCGCCAGGGTTCTAAGTGTGTTAGGGTGTCTAAGGAAAAGCCCACATTACGGCCTTCAGGTGTCTTACTTCAAATGTTAATGGGTTGAAGGCAGTGGGCAAATGTAAAGTTCTGGAGGGTTATTTAAGGAGATGTGCCAGACCTTGTGTTCTTGCAGGAGCATAATTATAAATATTTAGGTGAATTGTCAATTACCGGATATGACATGTACATGGGTTCTACATGACTGAAAGGTGGTGTGGCGCTATTAATTAAGGAAACCAGCCCGTTTCTTTTGCATAGGTGTGAGGTAGGGGAGGAGGGGTGGGTGGTTAGGGTGGAGGGTATGTGGGGTGGGGTTCGGGTGGGTTTCATTGGGGTGTATGGGCCGGCGGAAGGGGACATGGGTGTTAAAAATAGATTCTTTAGGGATGTCTTTGTCTACCATTTCAGATCGCTGCTAGGTATTACAATTATAGGAGGTGATTGGAACTGTGTTGTCCGACGTAAGGATGTAGAGCCTAGGGGGAGGTTTTTTTCGGGGTTTTTAGGGGATCTGTTGCGAGGTGTGAATGTAGTGGATGTTGGAGGGGAGGTGAGTGGAGTGATACATACGTTTATTAAGCGTGATTATGCGGCGAGGTTTGAAATGAAAATGCTGGCCCACAGATGGCTCCAATTTCATTCTGTTCCCTACTTGTATGTCTCATAACAATAAAAATGCTTTCAAATGAGCTGATGTAGGTAACAGCTCTTAGCTTGCCAATAAAGTTAGGAATCCTTAACCTGTAAATAGCTTGTCAATAAAGCTAGGGATCCTTAACCTTGTCAAACCCTGTGTAAAAAAAAAAAGGGGGGCTTAAGGCAGGGATGCCCTGTGTCGCAGCTTCTCTTTGCATTGCTTCAAGACCTGTTCTATAGGGCTGTGCGTTGGGGAGTACGGGAAGGGATGGTGAGGGATGGGGTGTCTGTGGAACCGGGGATCGTTGGATATGTTGATGACACCACAGTGCTATTTAGAAGGTCTGAAGATTTACGTAGGGTTAGTGAGTTGGTGGAGAGTTTTGGCATGGCAACGGGGATGACGCTTAATAGAGATAAGTCGATGTTATTGAGGGTGGGGGATGGTTTGGGTGGGGTATTCGAACAGGGTGAAGGTTGGTCCCTGGTAAGTAGACTTAAGGTATGTGGGGTTGTTCACATGGAAAATCTCCTGGAGGCACGGAAGGTGAATTCGAAAGAAGCTGTGGATAGGGTTTTGGGTAGATTAGCGGGTTTGCGTACAGGAGGTTTGACGCTGCACCAGCGTGCTATTGTGGTGAATGTGAAACTGTATGGTAAGCTGTGGCATGTGGCAGGTATATATCCCTTGGAAACATGTGATGAGAAGCGTCTGTTGAAGCGCGTGCATCGATATATTTGGGGTTCGGGTTGTGAATGGTTGTCGAGAGATGTTGTGTCTACCGGTACGCCAGGGAGGGCTGGGGTTAATGGCGCTGCATCAAAGGTTGTTGGGTATGTACGTTAAACACAGTTATTTGAGGGAGGGCAGAATGACAGGTACAGGCTTGGCATGAGTGAGAAGGGACTTGGTACGTTGGGTGAGGGGTAGGGATGTTCAGGTGTGTGAAGGAATGTTGAAGTTGTTGTGTTATGCAAGGGAACCCTGCGGGGTTAAGATAGGTACACTGGCTCGGGTGGGTGGTGGGGAGGTAGTTGTTAGGGTTGTGGGTTTGTATCCGATGTATGTATGGAGTGATATATGGGGGCGCCTGCAAGGGTTGCGATTGAAGGCTGTGGTGCGGGAGGTAATGTTTAAATTTCTCCATAATATATTGCCGTCGGGGGAGGTGTTAGGTAATAGGCGTGTGCAGGAGGGACGGGAGTGTTGTGAGTGTGGGGGTATTGACACTGTTTTCCATGTAGTAGATTTTTGTGAAAGGTTGGAACCAGTGAGAGAGTGGTTTAGCAGGGTTTTACGTATGGTGGGTGGGGGTGGTATTTGTGTTTTACGGGCATTAAGCTTGGATGTGGGGGGGGGTGCCGGTACAAAATGCGATGGGTTATCTGGTAGCCGACTTCGTGTATACTTCGTGAGTTTTACGGAGAGCGCCGGTGGAGGAGCGAATTAGGGCCCTGGCAGCGATATTTTATGGGACACAAAGGAGGAATAAGGATATCACTGGGAACAGATGGTATTTCAAATTTTCAGATGGATATCGTAGTTTTCGAGTGGAGGACTTATGGGCATTACAGATTCAGGGGACATGACGAAGCTGGCTTCTTGAGGAAGGCGCGGGCGTGACTGGTGCATTTGGAGGACAAGAGGTGTAATGCGAGTTGTGTGGGTCCAGTGAGTGGCTTGGTGTCAGGGAACTTTTAATGACATGTGTTATGCGAGGTGGGGGTTGTGACCTGGTGGTGGGTAAGTTTATGATTCTTATTATTTTAATTTGGGGATATGAGAAACACGGCGGCTGTGAGGCAGTCAGATTCCCTTCAGGAAACTGGTATGAGTAAAATGGAGCTTTAATTTCGCAATGTATGATGTCTGGTACTTTATGTGACTGTGAGCCTCTTATGTGCATGATGACTGTGAAGGTTCTTTTTATGCTCGTGTATTATTTTTAACAAATGTACTTCCTGTGTCTTGCAGGTGTGTGGCTGTGTATGAAGCATGTTTAAGAAAGCTTCTCTATTAAGATCTGTTGATTATGTTTTTTTTTTTTTTTTGGATTTTATTGGATTTTAATTTTTATATATTGTTATTAATACTTAGTACTTCTATGAAGTGATGGTATGTTTACGTAGAGTATTTTATTATGCTGTATTGTTATGTAGGTGTTAATTACATGTTTGGAGAGGTATGCTGTGCCTGTGTATACCGCTGTATTCATTGTGGTTTTTGTACGTATGTAATACATATTTTTATGCATTTGTATTTCCTCTGTTTTGCAGGGATGTGGTTATGTATGAAGCGTGTTTCAGAATGTTTATATTTTCAACCATGTTAATAAATGTTATTTTATAGTTTTGGTTATGATGGTGACGGCAGATACAGCTGTTGGGAATAGGGGGGGGGAGGTGTTGCAGTGTGTGCTGTATTCTTATAGTAACGATTTGCACAGGGATGTTGCATCCGGGTTGTTATAATGTTTCATTTCTGGGTTTCCATAAGCATCTGTTTTATTTCTGCGTCTCTGTGAAACACATGTTAAACTATATGCTTCATTGTGTTACGATTTAAGTTATATGTTTTGTTTTCATTTATATATTGTTATTATGGGTTCGAACCACTGTAATGTAACATTACGTATTATTTCTTGGATGTTTGGTATTTTTGTGTACACCGTTTTTTAAATAAATAAAAAAAAATCACCGAACTATATTCCCCTTTTTTTCATCAAGTACTATAAGGTAAAAACCTCCAGTTCATTAATTCTCCACGCACTAACATCACTCCTAACAAAATTATAATCCTTCCCAACAGCTAGGTTGCCTTGAATATCTCCAAAGAACTCGCACAAGCCAACACTAGAGTCATCACAACCAGCACCTCCATCAGTGACCTAACCAGGACTAAATTGAAGAACCATGAACCAGTCAATATAGGGGTTTACACAGTCCCCTGTGGAGGCTGTGACAAGTTATACGTCGGTGAAACAGTACAAAGCCTGAAAACCACGTCTCATTGAACGCACAAATGCATTCAGGAACGATAACTCGAACAACGCATTTGTTCAACACCGGAATTCCGCCAACCATCTAATGAAATTCAACGACACTCGCCTTGTGATTATAGAACCTAATTTCCGCAGACAAAAATGTCTTGAGTCATCCTTAATCGCTATATCGAGCACTGTTAAACAGAATAAAGGCAGCTTCGCTATCTTTAAGGTATTAGCAAGAGTTCTTCTCAAAACAAAAAAACACAGGCAACACATAGCAACCAAGAGTTACCTCCACTACTTCTACTACCACCTATATATACCCTCTGTATATTGCTTGTAACTTGTTTACCTTCCATTATACTCACCAGTTTAATAATAATTGTAGAAGCAGTATTATTAGTGGTAGTAGTAGTAGTGGTAATGGTAGTAGTAGTATTAGAGCCTTTATTAGAGCAATGAGAATATCGTCAAGTATTCCATTAAAAATTCATAAGTTAGGGTAGCTTCAAAGGTTTCGTTTCAGCAGAGCTAAAGTTACTCTTACTTAGGAATTTCCATCTCTCAGGATAGCGTATCTCGTAGGGAAAGTGGACTTCATGAAGATATCTCCATCAACACAGAGCAAAACAAAATATATAGAATTAAATATATTAACATGTAGGAGCTATATATACTTTAGATCTATATAAACACGAAGAGAGTGATGGTACTAACGATATCATCTTGAGTGCGTGGCTCCATCACCTCCTCGTAAGAAGGTGCCAGTAGTAGGTCGTTGGTGTCTGTCTGTGTTGGCACACCGTACTGTGCGTTCCACTGTGTGTCCGCTGCTGCTGCTGGTCTGTGAAGGTGAAGGATGAACCGATCATTACAACACGCATATTGGTTGTAAATTTAAATTTGGCTTAAA